CAATACTCAATACTCAATACTCAATACGTTTATTGCACTCCATATGTTTAAAAGGTGTTACATAATAATATAGTACAGTATGGACCCTGTAGGGCACGGCAACGTAGAAGAGAGGAGGACGCTAATTTTATTTAGATTATGTATCGCAGATTTCTTATTACTAGTTATAAGTAGTTGTTTTGTTCAATTTATTTTGTAATGCTATTAGTATTATTTATGAAAATGTTTATAAATGTACTTATATATTCTATGTAGGTTTATATATTTATATATTAAACATTTATTTTAATATTTTTTTTTTCGTTATATATTTAAATATGTGTATTGTAATAGGTATTGTAATTCTTATTAATATGCATGTTTAAGGTTCAAACCTCACCCATTTCTGGGGAACTACACCGATATTGCGGGCTTTTGGCCAAAGCAGCTTTGGGGATGAAATAATATGTGGTAAATTAATCTATAGATAAAAACTTATAAATCTATAGATATAAACTGTTCTGCATGTATTGAGTAATTATTATGGGTACTAGGTTGCGGGTAGGTTAACTTAAATGTAAGTCTAAGTATAAGTTAAGTAATCGACTGCACGGTTGGCGAGGTGGCTGGGCAACTATCTGCCGCGCAACGTGTCGCGGGTTCGATTCCCGCACGGAACAATTCTTTGTGTGATCTACAGATTGTTGTTTCGGGTCTGGGTGTCATGTGTATGTGAACTTGTATGTTTGTAAATGCACCCACGATACAGGAGAAAATGCTAGTGTGGGGAAATGTTTTTTTTAAAGTGTTCTTTTTTTGTATTCAATAATCGGGGTGTCGTTTTCTTTTAAGGAAAAACCCTATAAATAAATAAACATAAAAAAAATGTGTTTAAGATAAAAATGAGACGTTTACTAGCAGAAAAGTGTTACTACTGTTTGAATGACTTTCTAGCTGACAGTACTAACTGACAGTCAATTATAATTAATTTTGACATTTTTAATATGAATTGTAATTACTATAAACTGAATTTGTACGCCCCTAAGGGCAAAACATGTATTGGACACTGATATTAAACAATTAACATCTTTTATGCTTTTGTATGAATGACACATGTTCATGCAAATAAATTATCTTTATCTTTATCTTCACCAGAAGTAGCAGTAGTGTAACAATCAAAAATAAATGTCAACTTTTCTATAGGTACAATTAAATATACAAAAACTAGCTGCTGCCAACGGCTTCGCCCGTCGCGTTCCTATGGGATAAAAACTAACCTACATGTTATTCCAGACCATAAACTACCGCTGTTCGAAATTTCATCACGATCCCTTCAGCCGTTCTCCCGTAATTGAGTAACAAACAGATACACAAACTCACAATCGTTCCCATTCAATATCAATAAGATTTCTCAGTAGCGGTCTGTCGGTAGCCGATGATGATGATTTGAAGCCACCATTTTGTCCCCAGGTTCGCGATAAACCTCCAATGTGGTCCGAAACTGTATCCTGACGAAGATATAGCCTTCCATTTTAACCCTCGTTTCTACCAGGGGGCTATAGTTCGCAACAATTTCGGTTGCTCGGCGTGGGGCCCTGAAGAGACGCAGGGACCCTTACCACTCAGCAGTGGATTACCATTCGAAGTTATCATTCATTGCTACCAAGATTCTTTTAAGGTAAGTTGTAAATATTAAGATTATGTACAGTTGTCGCAGTGTTTAGGTGACCGGCTGCTGGGCAACGTGTCGCTGGTTCGACCAAAAAGTGATAGTGGCATATTCTGAGTATATAACTATTATTAGTAGCCCATAGTCAGGAATTTGTCGGTGTTTCAACCCCAGGCCTCCGAAAGCACATAAAGCCGGTCTCTCTCTCCCGTCGTGTCAGTCTGCCGTCCCATCGAGTTCAGAGAGTGAGTGGACAGAGAGTGTGCCTGTGTTCGCGCAGGCGCTTGTGCACTATAGTAATATCTCCTTCATAGTAAACTAGTTTAGTTACACTTGCCGCCATGATCGAAATCGTTTGGGACAGATGAGGGCGCGGGTTCGAAACCTACCAACGGCAAGTACCAATGTGACTTTTCCCGAGTTATATGTACTTTCCAAGATTATTTAGACACCACTGACAAACGGTGAAGGGAAACATCGTGAGGAAACCTGGGCTTATAATTTCTAATTATAAGTTTGTAATCGCCAACCCGCATTGAACAAGCGTGGTGGTTAATGCTCAAACGTTCTCCGTTTGAGGAGAGGCCTTTGGTCAGCAGTGGGGGCTAATACGCTTTTGTTGATGATGATAAAGAGTCTCTTGGCTCTGAAGTACTTCATTTTGTATTGGATACTTCGTTTATAGTAATATCACTATCCCCCAGGTGTTGTTGAACGGACAACAAGTCTGCGAGTTTTCTCATCGGATCCCGATACAGAGAATCACTCACGTCATGGTGGACGGCGACGCTATTATATTCCAGATAGACTTCGAAGTGCCTGAACACCCGGTAAGTTGTGACAACGTTCTTTATGGTAGGGCGGCCAGCGATCAGACGGATCACCTGATGGTAAGCAATCAGTGGCGCCCATGGACATTCGCAACACATAGGTATAAAGTACATTACCGGCTTTAGAGCAAAGAAATGGCGGCTACTGTATTATTAAGCTAGTTTATGTTTATAATTACCTGGCGTAGGGGATACCGTGTTCATGAAGGCGGTTCCCCAGGGCGAGGTCCTCTCATTGCACTGCGATAGGGTTGACCCCTGCGATTATCCCTAATGTGGATAACTCGGACGCGTTATTTTTGGTAGTGGGGACTGCTTACGCGCTGTCCCCTATTATTATCGCGGAGAACCTAACGGGTTACCGGGGCTCCGGCTCGACGTGTAGGAGAAGGAACGGGGTGGTTTTTAGTCAGTAAGAGTCTGACACTCCCTCCCGCCTCACCCAGGCGGGAGCAGTCATTCGATGATTTTCCCCCTTTAAAAAAAGTGTAACTGTATTTATAAAGTTAATTATAAAATTCACATGTTTCAGTCTGAACCACCACCAACAAGATGCTGCGAAGTTTCAGGTAAGCGTAATTAAAGTATCACTACATAGTATAATTAAAATAAAGTCGCTATCCGCCGTCTGTCTGTCCCTATGTATGCTTAGATCTTTAAAACTACGCAACGGATTTTGATGCGGTTTTTTTTAATGGATAGAGTGATTCCTAAGGAAGGTTTATATGTATAATACATACATATTGTACCGGTGCGGAGCCGGGGCTGGTCGCTAGTAATATATATATTGGATATCACATAATTAAGGAAACTTTACAAATCCACTAGCTTCTGTCAGCGGCTTCGCCCGCGTTCTTGTGGCATAAACAGTAGCCTATGTGTTATTCCAGACTATAATCTACCTCTGTTCTAAACTTCATCCCGATCCCTTCAGCCGTTTTGATGTAATAAGTGACAAACATACACACACACTCACACAAACACACTCATATTTCACTTCTATATTATTAGGAAGATCTATACATCTTAGGTATCAATTTTATGAGCACCTTATACCTCTATTGAGTCCCGGAGAACCTAACGGGTAACCGGGGCTCCGGCTCGACGTGCAGGAGAAGGAACGGGGTGGGTTTTAGTAAGTAAGAGTCTGACATTCCCTCCCGCCTCACCCAGGCGAGAGCAGTCATTCGATGATTTTCCCCCCTTAAAAAAAAATACCTCTATTGAGGGGACCTAGAATACCAGAGTTGCACACACCCTGGTGTGTTACCGGTTGCCGGCTCATTGCAGGACTAGGAACGGTGTGGAGTTTAGTCAATAAGAGTCTGACACTCTCTCTCGTCTCACCCGTGGCGGGAGAAGTCGTTGGATGATTTTCTCTCCTCAAAAAAGTTAGGCTTCCAACTGGCTGACATAAGACCTATTGGGGAGAAGCCTATGTTCAGCTGTGAACGTCTTGAGGCTGATGTAAATTGAAGTTGAATAAAAATTCTTTCTTTAATTTCATTTTCAAAGTCAAAGTCAAAGTCAAAATCATATATTTTCAATTAAACCAGGAAGGCACTTTTGAACGTCAACAACAAAAATTTAAAAGTGCAGCTATTTGATAATTCCGTGGTGTAGATTCCTATGTAGAAGAACGAGCCAGAAACTCCATAGGTTACTCTTTTTCAATCAGGTTCACAATAAAATTCTCTAGTTACATAGTTTTGTTGGTTCGACTGTGTGAGAACAATGCAACACCTAAGAGTCAAAGAGATTGACTATTTTAGTCATTTTAAAGTTGTAACATAACATCACGCCTTTTATCCCCCAGGGGGTAGGCAGAGGTGTACATTATGCGACTGTACAATGTAACACCCACTTTTCACTATTTATGTTATGAGTCCCATGTAACAGGGGGTGAGCCTATTTCCACATACTGAGCACATTTCCAGATACTGTGCTAAAACTGAGATTTTTAAAAATCCAGTATTACTTTGCCTGTTTCGGGAATCGAACCCGAGACCCCTGGCCCGGTAGTCGCACTTGCGACCATTCGGCCAATGGGGGAGTCTTTTAAGTTGTATAAATATAATTATGCATAATTGTGTTAATTAAGTCAGTACTGATTTAAAAATAATCTTTTATGTTTCCAGGTCCCTATTAAATACGAAGAGATGCTGGAAATATCGGATTTATACAAGAATGACACTGTCCTGGCTTAAACTGTCAAACACCGCGAGGACATTGGTGACCCCAACCTATTGTTCTATAATTGTGTCTATAATGACGGTACTCGACGAGTTAATATAACCTTTTTTGTTTTGTTTTATGCTTGTTTTGTCATTTTGATGTTTAATATTAAAATATTTGAGGCTTCTTTGATGTTTCTTCTTTGGTCTCCCCCTGAACCTAATCTAACAAATAAATAAAACTGTAATGTCTGTTTATAATATTAAAATAGATGCCATAAAAATCGTGGTTTTTAAACTTAAATTTTCCATTATTCAAGTCACTCATTGATAAGGCAAAGTCAAATCTGTGTGGAAGGTCGCGACGAACCTAACGGGTAACCGGGGCTCCCGCTCGACGTGCAGGAGAAGGAACGGGGTGGTTTTTAGTCAGTAAGAGTCTGACACTCCCTCCCGCCTCACCCAGGCGGGGGCAGTCATTCGATGATTTTCCCCTCTTAAAAAAAAGTCTGTGTGGAAGTATACAGAGCTGTTATAACCAGCGATCGGAAAAAGGTGAGCTAATTTACCTAAACTTCAAGGAACAAAAACAAAAAGTGGAGACTTCCTTACTACAACATTGTTTTCGGGAAAGTTCCGGTTCCAGTTTCGGAATATTTATATATTACATTTAATATAATTGTTATTAATACAGAAAATAATCACACACCTGTTTTGATTTGGTTTTCAAATGTGGTTTTATTTCCAACTTTCTTATTTAAATTTAACATAACATCACGCCTTTTACACCCGAAGGGATAGGCAGAGATGCACATTACAGCACTTAATGCCACTGTACAATGCCTCTAGGAATAGAGCGATAGAGCGCTACCCAATTTTAATACTAGAGGCAAAAATAAGTTAGCTGTACTGCAATTCAGACTGTCCAAGGTACAGAAATCCTTTATGGGGTTAGGTATTAAATGCTATAATAAAATACCAAATAGCATACTAGATCTCAATGAAAGTAAATTTAAAACATATATTAAGCGCGAATTATGTAATCAAGCTTACTACACACTGACAGATTATCTTGAAGATAAGAATGCTTGGCAGCATGTTGGTTCGGCTCCACAGGACAATACTCAAATGTAGTCAGTAGTTAAATTCCAATAGTAGGTAATATAATACATAATTTAATACTTTCATTCTAATGTACACAATCCAGTTTCCTTATGGCATCGAGCATTTCTTTCTTTATTGAAACAAAGAGTTTCCTTTTTCTTGTATAGAAGCACTATTTCTATGGATTGTCAGTATGCATATGTGAGCACCATGTTGGACTATAAGATTTCTTTTTGTTTTGTTTTTATATTTTAGTAAGTTTTGTAATTAGTACCTATAATGCTTCAAGCGTGTCTTTGCATTGTTCTCACATATACGTACAGTATTGGAATATGTATCAGAGACATTGTAGAACATACTTTTTTTAAAACGAATAACGAATGGAGTTTCTTGCTCGTTCTTCTCCATTCGAATCTACATTTTGTAATGAGCACCTAGCTTCACCTAGCTTCACTGACGGACTGACTGGCAGACTATTATTTATTTTGTATTTGTTGACGTTTCCCGCCTCCTCCTTAGCTAGCATAAGTGCTTCGCAAAAGGAGGAGACGGCTTCCCAGTCCCCCTCGCTCCGCATCATGACCTGCACTAGGCCCGGACGCGAGAGGTCGCCATCGTATTTTGTCGTAAAAGAAAACAATACATAGATAAAATGAATCAAAGTTTAGGAGTGGGAGCTAGCTACGTTGTCATCCCTACGTACGTTACGTTTTACGTAACTAGAAGTGACGTCACGCGATATTTCAAATTAATATATTTCGGTGAGAAAATAAAACAAATATTGCCTAATGTTTTGAAATAATCTACCAGACGGATACTGAAATAAAACTTAGTCATCTACCCTATTGTCCTCTAGTACGCTGCATGCTGCTGGCCCGGTATGGCCGATACTAATAAGATAATTGCGACCTTTTAACCTGAAGTCTTTTATATTATTCATTTCAATGAATTGCAATTGACGCTGGTTTTTTTGGACATCCTCCTTACGAATCGGAATTTTCCATGAGACAAGACATGTATGTATGTACTTCTGAGAAGAAATGCCGAAATAAGATTCACACTGAATACTTAGGAATTACCAGGACTAGGGTGAATATATTTCGTTTCAATGTCCGTCTGGTAGATTATTTTAAAACATTATACATGTATTATTTCTTTTCTTATGGAATCAAATACTTTCGATTTGATTGTATTTTCGATATATTGATTTAAAATATCATGTGTAAAAAATTCTAGCTGCGCCCGCGCGGTGTCACCCGCTGTGCTAGGCACCCATTGATCGTAGGGTGACGTTTTACAGCCTATAGCCTTCCTTGACAAAAGAAATATTCAACACAAAGACTAGTTTTATTATAAATACGACCGACAATATAAAAAAATACGTGTCTTAATCTAATATTTTCCAACATCTAAATTGACGGACTGAACAGATTGTATTGTCATACTCACACCCCGGCGCGGCGTCATCCCAATTGTGCCTGAGTCGGCATCCTGTTTCGGCACAATTTCATAATAGACATTTAGGGAATTCCCAGCTTCAAAGAATGATCTAGATTTTGGTTGACGTATATTTCGGCGGTGGAATGTCCAGGAGTCAATTGAAGTCAAGTATAAAAGAGGGATTGTTTGGGGGTACAGAGCATTCGTTACTCGACAGTTGAACCTGACGGGTGTTGGAAACCAATCGTCAGGTAATTTGTGAGATCAAGAAATAGTATTGAAGTTATAATGGCTGCAATCACCAATCCGGTGAGTGTTTTTTACATTATTCTATTTTATATTTTTTTTTTAGAGGAATTGGGCCTCCGACACACGATTAAGGGTCGATTTTTTTCAACGCCAGAGAGGAATAACTTTGAATATTTGACAATTCTTAAACAAATTCATTACATACTAAAAACTGTCAAATGTCAATTTTCTTCTACAGTTACGAGTTAACTGATGATTGAAAATCGGCGCTTAATGTTCTAATTGACAAGTTAATAGCTGGATTGGGGCGATGTCGTTACTGGATACCTTTAACGATTTGGTCAAATACGAGTTACAAAATAGTGAAATGATCGTCAGATTAAGTTGCCCACATCGCATGAAACTCTCAAGCTTTTCGTGAATGAAGCTAATCTACTATGTAGGATTTATGCCAGACCTATATCCCTCTTATGTGGAGGCAGTGCCGTCTTTACCAAAAGGGCACTCGGGGCCCGTGCCCAGAGCCCCTATCCTCGGGCCGGGGTCTGTTATTATTAATTATAATTAAAATGAACTTCGAAGCAAATCTTTGTGTAATTAACAAATTATTGTTTCGGGTCTGGATGTCATGTGTATGCGAACTTGTATGTTTGTAAACGCACCCACGACACAGGAGTAAATCCTAGTGCGGTGCAACGGTAAAAAAAACATTACGCAAGGGCCCTGAATTATTGTGTGCCCAAAGGGCCCCAGCGTAGTCCGAGACGGCCCTGTGTAGAGGAGGCCCATTATCATAGTCCAGCTGTGGACTGTTTGCTACATACCAATGTTAAAAGCTCTTATTTAACTTCCAATGTATGTATGTGTGTGTGTGTGAAGTGGAATCTTGCAACTGAATTTTGAAGCAGATATCTTCAACCGATTGAGCTGATATTTTGTATACACGTTTAGTGTAAGTGCATAAATTTAAATCTATTTCTGTTTCCAGAGAGTACCATTCACGAATTCCGTCTCTGGGGGTATGTACCCCGGTCGTAAAATGGTTGTCAAGGGTGGCATTCCTCCTGGATCCAACGGGTGAGTTTAAATTTAAAAAAATATATTTATCAGGCTACACTCGCTGCTCGGCTTCTATTGTTCGTAGTGCGATGTTATACACAAACAAACAAGCGGGGCAAGCTATGTAAATAAAACTGTTTTATGGGATAAGCCGGTAAACGAACAGACTCCTTGACCAAATATTGGTATTACATTGTTCTCACATTATTGAACTCCACGAAAGAATTGAAAAAGAGTAACCTATGGAGTTTCTTGCTCGTTCTTCTCCATAGGAATCTACACTTTGGAACGAGCAAATAGCTTCACTAGAGGACTGACCTACAGACTGACAATTTTGTTTTCTTATTATTTAATATTTAAATATTTTGTTGTGACATTCAAAAGTGCCTTCCTGGTCTAATTGAAATAAATGATTTTGACTTGACTTTGACTTTGACGGATCACCTGATGGTGGACTCAGTATGTCAGTCTGTCTACAATTACCTCGTGATTGGCTGAACGAATTACGATGCGATTTTCAGAAGTGATTGTTGCACTTAGAAATTTTCACATTCTGTCCCAGGTTCTCGTTGGATTTGGTTTGCGGTAGCGATGAAATTGCTTTTCATTTCAACCCTCGCTTCGGAGAGCAGCGCATCGTTCGTAACTCCTTACTTTCTGGTAACTGGGGCGCTGAGGAGCGCAGTGGAGGCATGCCGCTGATCAAAGGAGAGCCGTTTGAAGCCCAATTTGAATGTCAAGAAGATTGCATCAGGGTACGTAGTTCATGGAGGGTATATTGTTTACTTTATAAAAATAAGTGCTACCTACATAAAAAATACTGTTTCAATGAGCTCTATTCTACCAATCAAGCCCTTTCATTTAATATCCATAATGGAGTTGTGGAAACAATTAGATTATATTGTATGGTCATCAAGATTAAGAGTGTGTCAAATATCAGCTCGATCTATCGCAAGGAAGGCGGTGAAATTCCCATGGACACCAGCAGCCACAGAGGAGTTAGAAGTGTGTTGTCAGCCTTTTGGGGGTTGAAGAGTTGAGAATAGAGAATATGGAGAGGGGGTAGATTGGGCCTCCGGTAACCTCACTCACACGGCGATACAAGACGCAAGCGTTGTTTCACGCCGGTGTACTGTGAGGCCGTGGTATCAGTCCGGTCGAAGCACGGCTCTCCCACACTTAAAAATGTTTTATAATACATACATACATAACTTCACGCCTGTCTCCCATGGGGGTAGGCAGAGACTAAGGA